TCAAGTTTGTGATTAAAGTGTTCCTCTCTAACATAACCTAATCCTGTCTTATTAACCACAGAAGTTAGGGTTTGCATTATTGTAGAATGAGTATGAGGATCCAAGGCAGGAGAGAGGATGGAAACAGAAGGGGGAGGGTGGGAGGAGGGTGTTAATCATAGGGTTGCACAATTCAATGGGTGGGTGGGGTGAAGGAAATGGGAAGGATCTTTTGTGACAATGTATTCAAACTTTGTAAATGAATCAGAGTAATATAAAAAAATAAATTTTTTTTTAAATGTTAGGGTTTGTAACATTTCACCAAATGGAGGATAATTGCATCAAATCACAAAAAGGAGGACCATCACTCAAAACTGAGAATAATGAACTAACCAAACTGATATGTATGTGGAGGAGGGATGTCATTCAATCTATGCCAGATGTTTTTTATTAAAATTAATTTTACAATTGGGAAGTAAGTTTTATTATCCCAATCTTACAAATAAATTGAGACGTACAGCCCTTAAGAAAAGGCTGTCTGGATGTGAAGCGATCTGGCTGCGACATTTGCCACTCCATTGATCGCCAGGGTTGATTCGGCTGATCTGGCTGGCTAGGCAAGTGTACCCTTCCTCCCTCACCAATCCATGTCCGTCCCTCCCAAAAGATGCAAGCTCGCTTGAAGAGGACAACCATCCCCGATAAAAGGAAGACCAACCTTCATTCAAGGGTATACAGGTAGACGCACTCCCCTCCTAAAACCTTCAAATAAGCTCTCAAGAAAAAGCTGTCTGATTATCTTGGCAGTTTATGTTATGCCACAAAAGCTATTCCATTGAACATTAAGATAATGATAACCTTCAAGGCATCTTTTAATCAAGGGACCAGAGAGCACTTTATTTCCAGGATGGCAGGAACAATTATATTCTGTATGATCTTTACCAGAAAGTCAACATACTATCTGAACACCCTATTGCACATTCCTTGCATTCAGCGTATGAAGACAGTGCATGAAACATGTCTGAAAATGTGGTGCTTTGAGTCACCAGCCTTATCTTAAATTGGAACAGGCAAGGTAAACCAGGTAGTTTTTTAAAAATCAAATGTATATTGGAAAATTCAATATTAGTCTTTTTTTCTAAGACTTAGAAACCATTTAGCAAATTAAGAAAAACCTCTATCACCACACACTGTTAAAAGTGTTTAACTAGATCACATAAGACATTACTTGCTCAGCTTTGGGAAATGTTCAGGTGTATTTGGATGGAGAAAACTGCATGACTTTTTTTCCCTTTTTACAAAACCCAATAAAAACAGACTATCAAAATACTAAAAAAAAAAAAAGTAAAATAAAGGAAGGGAAAAAAGAAAAGGCTGTCCAAGATCACCCAGCTCCTGCAATATAGAATAAGTTCACAAACTCAAACTTACACCTTAGCACTAACTTCTCCAATGAAACAAGATTTCTCCCTCCCCTGACATGAGGAATAAAGTCTTCCCTGACTCATACCTCAAACAAAAAAATCCTCACCACTGGATCAACAGGCAACATCCTAACAGATAAAGAAAAGATTAATGTTATCAATGATGTTATTTCACTTGAATCAACAAACACGACTCACTGGTAGCAATAGTCAAGAAATCAAAAGACATGTTATAGTGGGGAAGGCAAGACCTCTCCAAAGTGCTAAAAAGCAATGATATCAGTTAAAAAAATGCCTGGCCCAAGCTATGATATTTTCAATTGCTTTCTATGCATCTGAAAGTTGGACAAAAAATAAGATTAGCCAAAAAAAAAGAATCAATGCCTTTGAAAAAGTGCTGAAAAAGAGTACTGAATATACCAGGGATTGCCAAAAGAGCAAACAAATCTGTCACGGAGGAAGCACAATCAAGGTGCTCCTTAGAGACAAGGATGGGGAAACTTCATTTCATTTCTTTTTCATAGATATTTTCATATATATTGCACATATATCGTCAGGAGGGAACACTCCTTAGAAAAAAAGACATCCTGCTGGAAAAGGGTCAGGGGAAACACAGTAACTACAAAAATTGGCTTGAGTACAGCAGATATCATGAGAATGGCACATGACAGAAGGTTTCAGTCTGTTGTTCTTAGCATATTGATAAGTCATACGCAACCCTACGGCACCTAATAACAATTCCCCAAATTACTGACCCAGTCAGTGACGTTCTAGTGCTTAAAGAACCTCTGATCTAACTATACTTTGATTTATCTTGTTTTTGTGATAGTGTTTATTCTCTATACTGATAAAGCACTAATATTACGTGCTAAACTGTTGCGAAATCCTTTTTCATGATTTTTAAAAGATGATTCTTAATATTATAGGAATTTCTGCCTCAACTTACTGTGTTCAGTTAAGAGTGTTTACATTATGATGACAGAATTATGGGTGATTTTTATTTCTTGGCTTTATTTGTGTTTATTGAGTTGCAAGTACTGAGTATGCATTGTTTTCACAATTAGAAGATAAAATACAATAAATGTGCTAAAGTTAGATGGATCTTGGCAGAAAGCAGAGAGTACCAGAGGCATGTCTATCTGTGCTTCATTGACTATGCAAAGACTTCTGACTGTGTGGATCACAACAAGCTATGGCTGACTCTGAGAAGAATGGGAATCCCAGAACATTTGATTGTGCTTATACAAAACCTAAACTTGGACCAAGAGAAGTCACCAGAACAGAGAAAGGAGACACTACATGGCTCAAAATCAGAAAGGGGGGGGGGGAAACGCCAGGGATGTATTCTGTCTCCATACCTTTTCAATCTGTATGCAGAACAGATCATCCGAGACGCTGGGCTGTATGAGGGGGGATGTGGCATCAGGATTGGGGCAAGATCTATCAACAATCTGCGTTATGCATATGACACAACCCTGCTTGCTAAAACTGAGGAGAACCTGAGGCGCTTGCCACAGAGGGTCAAGGACTGCAGCCTTCAATATGGATTGAAGCTCCACATCAAGAAAACAAAGATTCTCACCACTGGACCAATTGGCAGCATCATTATGGATGGTGAAGAGATTGAGATAGTTAACAGTTTTAGTTTGCTTGGCTCCATAGTCAACACTCTTGGTACCAGTAGCCAGGAAATGTAGAGACAAATTGCACTGGGAAAGTCAGCTGTCAGGGACCTCTCCAGAGTACTGAAGAGCAACAACGTCAGGCTGGAGACTAAGGTGCGTCAGATCCAGGCTATAGTCTTTGCAATTGTGTGCTATGCATCGGAGAGTTGGACAGTGAATAGGGATGATAGAGAATTGATGTCTTTGAGCTGTGGTGCTGGAAAAGAGTGTTGAATATACCATGGATTGCTAGGAGAACAAATAGGTTTGTCTAGGAGAGAGTGAAGCCAGGCTGCTCCTTGGAGTCAAGGATTCTGAAGCTTCATCTGACATACTTTGGGAATGTTGCAAGGAGGGACCAGTCCTTGGAGAGGGACATCATGTTTGGGAGAGGGACATCATGTTTGGGAGAGTGGAGGGACGGCACAGGAGAGAAAGACCCTCGATGAGATGGATTGATTCTGTGATTGGGGTAGTGGGAATAAGTATGTTGGAGACGGTGAGGTTGGCACAGGATAGAGCATGGTTTAGGGCTCTTGTACATAGAGTTGCTTTGAGTCCCAAGTGACTCGACGGCAATAACAACAGCAATCCAAAGCCACATGTTTTGAATCCACCAGCTTCTCTGTGGGAGGGAGATGGGTAATTTCTTCTCATGCGATTTACCACCTTTGAAAACCCACTGGAAGGTCAGCTATGAGTCAGTTCCAACTTGATGGTACATGATACCACCATAACAACAACCAACAGATAGATGTAGATATATGGGTATTTTCCCTCTCACTATTGAAAAAGAACACATTCACTGACCAAAATCAATCCTGATGCAGGTAGAACCCAAATTGGAAACAAGAGACTACACAGCTCTTGTACAAGTTGTTGTTGTTGTTGTGTGTCCTTGAGTGGAGTCAACACACAGCTGAACCTCAGTGGCTCATCAGAGGCTATAAATCACATGGAGGGAGGAGCTGTCTACCTTTCTCCCGTGGAGTAGCTGGTGAATTTGAACTGTCTGCCTTTGGCTTGGCCATGCAGCACCTTACCAACTAGGCTATAAGTGGTTCCTACTTTATACAGTGTTTTTTTTTCCCCACCCGCAACTATCTTAAACATTCCATAACACTGAATTGAAGCTACTGTCTAGCTTTTCTTGTCCTTACCTCAGGCCTCTTTATTAAAATTCTTTGCATGAAATAAATATGGCTTTGTGTCAGGGACCTGTTAACTACACGGTCTGCTATTCTCAGGCATATGATAGTATGTACTTCTCAACTCTTGGGAAGCTCGGTGCCACCACTAAAATATGAAAAGTGAAATAGGGTGGATTTATACAAACTCTCCTTTGCAGAGATATTTTTAAAGCTGGTAATATTAAAGCCATGTTATGATCCTTAAGGATAATTGAGATCATTAAGGTCCCTGATGCAAATGGCTATGTCTGGTAAGAAAAATAAAAGTGAACTGGGGTGGGGGGGGTAGGGAGGAAAGTATACAATGAATGAATAAAAATCCAACTTTTCTGTAAACTTTCATTAAAAAACACAATAAAATTAAAATAGTATATAAAATGTCACAAATATCCTGAGCAGGGAATGGGGAAATAAAGCTCATAGTCTAAAAAAAAAAATACCTAACTCTCCTGAGAAACTCCATGCCCCAACTCCTTTTCAGTTAGCATAGCTTGCTGTATACTGTGCCACCAAGGTTCCTTACCCTCCCGAACACATGGTTTTATTAGAACATTTCAATTATCAAATGGGAAGGGGGCTGTTACAATACAGGGATTGTAACCAACGTCCCATAATGAGTATTAATTGTTGAGCAGAAAACCAATTTACGGTGTAAACTTTCAATCTCATTTTAAAGGCTTTCCTTTAAAAGAGGCACTCCAACTATCAGTACAAAAGGTTGGACTTAATGCTGTTCATCTTACCTTTTTCAAAGATGCCTTCTGTTTCCAGGAGGAGGGTAGTGTAGTTGGATGTTGTCTTCAACAGCTCAGCCTTCACAATCACTGGTGAGGGGCTGTGCTCCAGAAGTTCCACCCCAATAGTAACATTGCCTCCTGGCCTGACGATCCCAGGAGCTACCACCAGAAACGTGGGTCTAGAGAATTCCCAACAAGGGAAAAGCAAAGTGCTTATTAACTTCACATCTCCATTTCTTGTTGGCACTCAAGTTTCACTAGATACTCAGTATGCTGTGCCAACTGCAACTGTTCCATTTAGCATTGCCCCGCTGTTCCACTTAGCAACTGCATTAAAATATTAAAACAGCTTGTTATGTGCTGTAGGGTCAGAAATTACTCATGGCTGACCCTTAAGCAGGTTTTCAGAGGCTATAAACTGCACAGGAGATGATTACCCATCATTCTACCAAGGAGTAGCCCGTGGATTCAAAGCTGGTGCTTTTTATGTCTTTGCTTTATTTGTGTTTACTGCATGACAAGCACTGAGTATGCATTATTTTCATAATTAGAAGAAAAAACACAAAATACGTATTGCCAACCCAAAGGTACATGCTTTGAATCTATCAGCTTCTTTGTGGGTGCAACCCTGCACCCTCTAGTAATTTAAGCACTACTACTATTACAAAAGTCCTGTGTTATGATTTCCACTTTTTTTGGGGGGGAAGAACTCTTATTTATTTAAACCTTTATGCTTGGGCATGCACTCAAGAAAATGTCATCTAGCCATATACTGATTAAAATATCTTAAGATAAACTATCGTCATGTATTGGCAAGTCAGAACTAACTCATAGCAGACCCTCCAATGGGTTTCAAAGGTAGCCAATGGCACAGGAGATTGCCCTTCTTTCTCTCTTGAAGCAGCTGATACATTCGAACTGCTTGCCTTTGGGCTGGCAACACAACTCTTTACCCCTAGGCCACCAGAACTCTCTCAAGGCAAACTAAGCAGTAAAATTTCCAGTTGTGTAACAAAACATGGAGGGGGCTAACACGGAAATCACAAGAATAGCACTTTCCCTGTGCAAACTAAGAGTTAAGGTTTAACTACAAACCCTACAAGAATAAGGCACTTTTACTACAGGGAGCTCTGGGATTATAAAGCAGTTCCATTCCTCAATCTGTTCTTAAATCAAGTAAAGTAGAACAGTACTCTAAATAGTTAAATATAGTAAATCAGAACAGTACTCCAAACAGTTAAATAACATCTAACCTCAATTTGTCAAATGTTTGTCTCAGTTTCTAGTAAATGCTGTACCTTATCATGCATTAAAAAATTAAACACTTCCACATACTGCAACTTCTTTAAACAACACAGTCAAGACAGTGGTGTTTTGTACCTCCTTTGCTCTCCTGTGTAGCTTTGATTATTAGGAAGCACTGAATATACCTTGGATTGTAAATATAAAAGACCTTCGTGGGTGGCTTGAAACTAACTAGGAGGTATAGAGGTTTAACTAGGAGGTCTTTATAATCGGTTTTAACCCTGGGGACTGCTTGTCTTTCCCGCTCCCTTAAACTATCTTCCTACAGTAGCTGCAACTTGAACTCACACTTCAATCACCTCAGCCTAATTCTGGCAGTGCCAAACTCGAGCTTCCTGAAAAGGGGAGCTGGGAAAGGAGTGCCCTTAAACTCTGGAGAAAAGCAGGCAGGTTCTATGGGACTAAAAGTTGTGCAGTAAAAAAAGGAAAGGCAACGTGAACTAAAAGTGAACATCTTTATAAAGTCAGTAGAAAGAGACTTTTAAACAACTCCTCCTCTAGGGAAGAAGACAGCTGTCCCACAGAGAGCAGGCTAAAGCGACATGTGCTCAGGTCTCCAGGCCAGCGGCGGGCAATGGGTTACTGACATCGCGGAGCAGAGCCACCTCGGTAAGCCCGGGCCAGCCTGCTCCAGAGCCACCCCACGCCTCACGCCCCTGCACGGGCCTCCGGACACCCGCCCTCGCCCCGCTGCGCGCTCGCGCCCTCCCTCTGTCCCCTGGGCCCCTTTCCGCCCACGCCCTTTCGCCCGCGCCCCTTCCCCTCACCCCTGCCCGCCCGCGCCCCCTCCCTGCACTCCTACCGGGGGGCCGCGGCCAGCGCTGCTGTGCACACGCAGAGGAGCTGGACGGCGTTCAGAAGCGGAGAACCCTGCATCTCGGTGGCGTCTGCTCCCGCAGCGGTGGGCTGTAGAGAAAATTCAAGGGCCCTGCGGGGTGTGGCTTCCCACCTCCTCTCTGATTTTTTTCTTTCCCTGACTCAGGTTTAGCAATCTGAAATGGGCGCGCCTAAAAAGCCTTGGGAGAGTCTAATTTGAGACAGGACTTCTTGGCTCCACCCCTCCCGCCCCCATCACAATGGCGCTTCTCGCTCCTCCAGCAAATATCGCAAATCCAGGGTTGTCCGAAAGCAGTCTCCCAGTGTGGCCAGCCCAACCTGGCCCCGCAAAGCCTCCTCCTGCGGCGACCACAGGGCGCCCACTTCCTTGGCCCACGGGGCGGCCTGGACTGTTTACACAAGCGCGCTACCAAAGATGCCCAGGGTGAATAAACAGGCCCATCCTTGTGCGGATAAATTCATAGCAGCTATGTGAAGTGGGAAAAAAATCAAGCATTGTCCTCCAGACTACACACACACACACACACACACACACACACACACGGATGCTTTCTGGGCGATTAAATGTATATACATTCAACTTCTTTGGTTTAAAATATATTTGTGATATTTTCCTCTGGGGGAAAATACAAGGGTTAATCAGCTTAAAAAAAAAAAAAGGAAAAGAGAAGACTCTAGGACACACCGAAGTTTTGGGAGTTACTGCTTAGAACTTTGAAAAGTAATTTTCGAGGGAGAAGTTTGTATCCCTTTGGTTGTCCCTGCACGCATTTGCTACCGAAAATAGTCATTAGAACTGGGAAAAATAGGGCAATTTGTATAAACATAATTAGGTTGACTTTTCTGCTATAGACCTGGAGCGCTAGTGGTGCAACAGTTTAGCACTTGGCTGTGGTGAAAAGGGGGGGAGGGTAGAGGATTACTGTCTCAACCTGTGAAATGCTATGGGGCAGCTCTGCTCATCACCCTTACTTCTCACTCCCTGAGAGTCCGGATTGTCAGAATTGGCTGCCAACACCTAACAATAGCTTTCCTGCTGGAATGAAGGTCTGGTGCCCTGGTGCCTAGTAATTGTCTTCGGGTCTTACCATCTTACCTTTTCTGCAACTCCTTTCAAGGGCTTTTGGCAACTGGCACCATCTTCAGATGACTCAGATTTCACCATGACTACACCATAAAAGCAGAGGAACTGCCAGTTTTGTTTTGTTTTAAAAAAAAAAGCATTTTCAGTCCCTGCCCACTTAAACTTTCTGATTAATGGAGCAAAATTTTAAATAGTGACATTTTCATACAGGTCAAATCACAGAAGGAAAAAAGGTCAGCAAAGGGATGCCTCATGACAAAGCTATGAGCTAAATAAAGGGGAAAGAGCACCTAGGCAAACTGTGGTTTTGGGAGTCCAAGAATTCTCTTTCCTCTTTTCCTGTTCCACCCTTTTTCACCCTCCTGAACAGCTTGCAGTGGTCCCATATGTCCTTTCTAAAGGTAGCCTATCTTTAGTGGCAGACTTCCTGTCCAGGCAGGACTGGGGTTTGGGGAAAAGTGTCTGACTGAGTGAACCTTTAGGTACAGACCTCCTCTCTCAACAGCTGTGACAGTTGACCTGGTCTCCTCATTTCTGTTGTTCCGAGAGGAAACCAGGGTCAAATGTAGGTTTTGCCAAAATCTAAATTATAGTTTCTCAAACTCTAAACTGTCTGAAGAGTCACACTAAAATGCAGATGCAGATTCAGCAGATCTTGTATTCAGCATGTCAGCCTACAGGCCCTCAGGTAGAGTAACATTTGGAAAGTTCTCATGATAAAAGCTGAGAAGTACAGAATAGTTCTTTTCAAGAATTCATTTCTTGGAGATAGATTGATAAATTTAGATTTTTCTCTAAAGACCATCTTCCTGGGCTGACACTGGGGTGGGGGTAAGACTGAGAAAAACTGGATAAATTATGTTTACTGCATTGAAGCCAATGATGGAGAGAATAGTTTAAAATTAATATATTTTAGGGCGTTATGATTATCATAAGAGCCCAAAATGAGGGTTGCAGAGTGGAGTATACTTGGGGTGGGAGTGGGGATGTGAGGGTGGCGGGGGGATTGTGTACCAGTGAAGGAGTTTTTCTTTTGCTTTTCAAGGAAAGGAGTGAACTGGGGGTGGGGGAGAAAAGTGCATCAATGAATGAATGGAATTCCAAAACCCAAAATCTCTGTAGATGTTCATTGATAATAATAAAAAACAAAACAAACAAACAAAAAAAACCCTCAACCTCAAAAAAAAAAAGGACCATCTTCCTGGTTGTCTAAGACCCTCTAGACACTTGGGTCCCCAACACATTGCAGCTCTTTTTCTTGAGAAATATACAATAGCATCACAATAGTGGCAGTGGTGGTGGTGAGAGTTGTTGAGTTAAAAAAACTAACCCATAGCTGGGAGGAAACTGAGAAGGATGGGTTTAATAGTGTATACTGCATTGAAACAGATGAGGGAGAAAACTGTTTAAAAGGGATATGTGATTAAGTCTTTTTGTCATGACAGGAGTCCAGAGCAAAGGCTATATAGTGGAGTGGACCTGGGGGGAGGGATTGTAAAATAATGAAAGAATTTTTCTTTTACTTTTCCAAGGGGGTAGTCTACTAGAGGGAAAAGTTGGGAGGGGAGAAAAGTGCAACAATGAATGAACGGAAATCCAGTCTCTGTAAATTTTCATTGAAATTAATAATAAATTTTTTAAAAAGGAAAAAAAAAAGAAAACTCCAGTACACATTTTCCTGCATTTAAAATAAAAAAAAAAAAGAAAGAGAAAAAGAGACCAGAGGTAGCAGTTCTATTGATAAGGCTCATCAGTAAAATATGTTTACTCTCCACTCTTCAAAATCCCATAAACTATATTCAATTAAGAGAGAAAATGAGGGGATGTGAAATCTTATTCAAGAGTAGATCTACATTTGGGGAGAGGGTAGGCTTATCCAATTAAGGAGATGCTCTTTAAGAGGAAAAAACCAAAGAACAAATTAGAAGCCAGCAAGTTTGTAGCCTCTAAGAGCAGGGAGGGACTCAGAGTTCTCTCCCTGAAGTATATTAAAGGAGCATTAAACCAGAAAAAAAAGAAAGAACCTAACCCATAGCGGACCCTCTAGTGGATTTTCAAAGGCAGTAAATCACATGGGAAAATATTACCCATCCTTCTCCTGTAAAGCAGCTGATGGATTCAAACTATGTACCTTTTGCATTGGCAGTACTATTCCTTATCACTACATTACCCCAGCAGTCAGGAAATCAGGAAATGTATTGCATTGGGTAACTCTGCTGTCAGGGACCTCTCCAAAATACTTAAGAGTAATGATGCCGTTTTGAAAACTATCATGTACTGGATTCAGATTGTAGTCTTTTCTATCACTTGCTGTCCATCTGAGAAATCAATAATGATTAATGACACAAGAATAGATGCCTTTGAATTGTGATGTTGGAGAAGAGTGCTGAATAGTCCATGAACTGCTAAAAAAAAACCCAAACAGATATGTCTTGGGAAAGTGCATCCAGAGTGCTCCTTGGAGGCAAGGATGGCAGAGCTTCATCTTTCATACTTGGGACATCTTGCTAGGAGAAGCTATTCCTTGGAAAGGGATATCATGCTTGGAAAGTTGGAGAATCAGTGAAAGAGAGGAAGACCCACAGAGATAGATTGACACAGTGACAGCAGCAATGGGCTCAAGTGTGTCGGAGATGACGAGGATGGCACAGGATAGGCCAGGGTTCAAGTCTGTTGTTCATAACGTCACTATGAGTTGTACTAGACAATACCTAATAATAACAACAATTAAAGGCAGGTAACTGTAATAGGGAGGCCAAAAGATTAGTTGATAGAGTGTCAAGGGGATTGGCTGTCTCACCACTAAATTGAGCAGACTCAGTGGTAGATTTTGAGAATCTAATCACCAGTAAAGAAGTAAAAAATGCAAAAGCAGCTGCACTAGAGAGTTAGAGACTCAAAGTCAGACAAAAATTACTTGGGGCTGCTGCCTACAGAACCAGAACCAGAACCAGAGGCCTTTGCCCAAGTTGGCTCAAGAACTTGGGGTGGGGGGCGACACCATAGTTGGCAGGACTAGGACTAAAAATGCTTTATAATATTGGCCTAAAGCTGCAAAGCTGAAGGCTGAAGGGCCCATGAGCACACTTCAAAGGCTATTCTGAGAAATTGTTCCTTAGCAAACTCCATAATAATGTGTACGGGTCTATGTGATCTGTGAGCTGTTGCAATGAATTTCAGACCCAGTAGAGCAGAAGATTGGTTTTTGGAATCAGAACTAAGTGCAAGAGCCTGAGGGAAATAAGTGATCTCATGGGAATTGGTGAATTGGTTGTATGTTGTGAATGCTATTGACAAGGAAAGTTTCTCTTTTTTTTTTACATTTTTTTTAAATTTTAATGAATATTTACAGAGACTTTGGATTTCTATTCACACATTGTTGCACACTTTCCTCTCTTCCCACGCCAGTTCTCTTCTCTCTTTGAAGAAAAAGAAAATTCTTTCATTGTTGTATAATCCTCCCCCCCAAGTCCACTTTACTATGCGCCTCTTATTCTGGACTTTTGTCATGAAAATACTTAATTATAAGCCGTAATGCTCCTTGGAGTCAAGGATTCCGAAGCTTCGTCTCATATATTTTGGGCATGTTGCAAGGAGGGACCAGTCCTTGGAGAGAGACATCATGTTTGGGAGAGTGAAGGACAGTGCAGGAGAGAAAGACCCTCCGTGAGGTGGATCAATTCTGTGATCAGGGTGGTGGGAATGATTGTGTCAGAGACAACGAGGTTGGCACAGGATAGAAGGGTGTTTAGGGCTCTTCCACATAGGGTTGCTATGGGTCTCAAGAGACTCGATGGCACATAACAACAACAACATATTCCTTTTAAACAGTTCTCTTCCTCATCTGTTTCAATGCAGTATACATTATTTACCCCCTCTTATTTTAAGTTCCCCCCAACCACAATATCAGTCCCATTTTACAACAGAAAGTTTCTCTTTGTGGAGTTAGTAGATG